TGAACAGCACCTGAGCCCAAGGGGGTGTAAAACCCCAGGCCCTGAGAGTTGCACGGTGGAGTTGTGGCATCAGTTAAGCTCAGGGAGTAGCGACTGAGCCCTAAGGGATGGAAGACCCCAGGCCCTAGTGAAAAGGGGGAGAGTTGTGGCCCAGGAGAGGGGCTTAGTAGTCCAATGAGGGGCCAGGGGCGAAGTAGACCCATAGCTGAGTAATCACTCAATCCCATTTGGGTGAAGGTCACAGGAGACGCCCAAAAGACCACTCCAGGGCTGACTGAGGGGTGAAGAGAAAAGCCTGAGGATTTCCATGGAGTAGGGTGGGATGAGCGTGGCCTGGATACCGGGTGAGACCGGGTGAGAGTTGGTCAAGTGCAAGAGGCCCTGGTGAGAGGGGGGTAGTGTGTCTGTGTGGCCCCAAAGCAGGCAGTGTGCTAAAGATAAAGCTGTGTGCCCAGTTTGGCCTGGCCTTGAGCCAGAATATCATCACACAGTGAGACATCAGTGAGGCATGGGACACATGAAGGGATGGTTGGAGCGTGTGTGTATTGCCCATGGTCATTTGGGCACATGAAGAGCAGCCTTTCACCTATTTTACATCATAACCAATTATCAACAAAGCACGGCAGGTGAGCAAGATGGGCAGTTTGCCCAGAAATAAGGACAGGGCCATAATAGTATCAGGCCTGGAAGGTGCCTTTGTCACAATATAAAATAAAAACAGAAGTATTTCCATTCAGAAATGGTGTTGTGGTGCCTCAGAGAAATTCTGATTCAGGTGCCTCATGCTCTCATTGTCATTCCTGCCTGGATGACATCTCCCATGATGTACCACAGTTTTTTTCCCTTAAGCTGAGGTTGTATCATGGAACTCTTTGGCAAGCATATATCATGGGGGAGGTAGTCCAGTTTGTAGGGGCTGATCCTTAGAGAGCAATAGGAACCTTTGTGGTCCCCATTTTCAAAAAAGGGAGGAAGGAGGACCCAGGAAACTATAGGCCAGTTACTCTTACCTCGATCCTGGGTTAGCTTTTTGAGAGAATTATCTTGGTGCATGTCCACGAGAGGCCAGCAGGGGAGGTTATGCTTAGGGGCAACCAACATGGGTTCATTAGAGGCAGGTCGTGTCAGACCAACCTGGTGGCCTTCTATGACCAGGTCACAAAATCCTTAGACGCAGGGGTAGCAGTGGATGTAGTCTTTCTGGACTTCAGGAAGGCCTTTGACACTGTTTCTCACCCCATTCTCATTAAAAAACTAGGGTACTGTGGCATCGACAACTACACAGTCAAATGGATCGCTAACTGGTTGGAGGGCCGCACCCAGAGAGTGGTGGTGGATGGGTCATTTTAGACCTGGAGGGATGTGGGCAGTGGGGTCCCCCAGGGCTCGATCCTCAGACCCACGCTGTTCAACATCTTCATCAGTGACTTTGACGAGGGGGTAAAAAGCACCTTGTTCAAATTTGCTGACGACACAAAGATGTGGGGGGATGTGGGCATGCTAGAAGGGAGGAATATGCTGCAATCAGACCTAGACAGGTTACAGGGGTGGGCGGATGAGAACAGGATGGGTTTCAATAGGGACAAGTGCAAGGTGCTGCACCTGGGGAGGAAGAACCAGCAGCATACCTACAGACTGGGGAACTCCCTTCTTGTCAGTGCAGAGGCAGAAAAGGATCTTGGAGTCATTATTGATGCCAAAATGAGCATGGGCTGGCAGTGTGGGGACACGGTCAGGAAGGCCAACCGCACCTTGTCATGCATCTACAGATGCATCTTGAGCAGGTCAAAGGAGGTGATCCTCCCCCTCTATGTGGCACTGGTCAGGCTGCAGTTGGAGTACTGCATCCAGTTCTGGGCACCGCATTTCAGGAGGGATGTGGACAACTTGGGGCGGGTCCAGAGGAGGGCCACTCGCATGATCAGGGGGCAGCAGGGCAGGCCCTCGAGGAGAGGCTAAGGGACCTGAACCTGTTCAGCCTCCACAAGAGAAGACTATGGGGGGATCTAGTGGCCTGTTACAAACTAGTCAGAGGGGACCAGCAGGCATTGGGGGAGTCCCTGTTCCCCCGAGCACTACCAGGAGTAACTAGAAATAACGGTCACAAGCTGGCGGAGGGTAGATTCAGACTAGATATCAGGAGGCTCTACTTCCCAGTTAGGGCGGCTAGGATCTGGAGCCAACTTCCAAGCGAAGTGGTGCTGGCTTCTACGCTGGGGGTCTTTAAGAGGAGGTTAGATGAACACCTTGCTGGGGTCGTTTGACGCCAGTACTTTTTCCTACCATGGCAGGGGGTCGGACTTGATGATCTGCTTAGGTCCCTTCTGACCCTACCAACTATGAAACTATGAAACCTGAGCAAATTGTACTATTACTTCTATGAGACAATGGTGAGACATGCAAACTGAAATAATTCACTTCAAGGATGTAATTGCAGGGGAGGGGTGATAGGGGCAACTGCCCCAGGCACTGACTTGTGGGGTTGTGAGAACATGGCTGCTGGTGGCCACCGTACAATCACATTTATGATCACAGTAGCAGCCAGAAGTCACCACTTTCACATCCATACATTGCTGTTTCACTGCTTTAAACAATAGTTTCTTGGCATGTTTTCTGTAAGTCTGACCTAAAAATGTTATTAAAAAAAAAAAATCAAACCCAGAATTTTCTGTCTAAAAATTCAAACCCAGAATTTTCTGTCAGTAGCATAACTGAGAGGGTTACTTTAGTGGGGCGGGGGAGGCAGGGGGGAGGGCACCAAAGCAGTTGTTACTGAAGCAGCAGATGAACATGCTATTGCAGTTGGCACAGCAAGAGCCAGTGCCATCCTGGGTACCATGCAGCTGCCCCAGGTATGGAGCTGTTCTACTATTCTTCTGGTTTTGACGTGTCCTAGTAGTTGGTACTGCATCAAATGCAGGGGATCCATTAACATTATCTATTACATGCATGCTGAAAAGCTGCAGAAGGGAGCAGTGTACTTTTCTAAATCCAAGCACATGAGCAAGCAAGAGAAATGCTCAGCTAGTAAAAGGAGGTGAGGGATGCCTGTATCTGATCTGAGATTTGAGAGTCTTTCAATGCAGACAGTTCTAATAAAGGTTACGCTACTGAGCAGGGGATCTAAACTCAATCATAATAATAAGCTCATTCCCTATGGCTGTGATTTGATATCTTTCCTTGACCTCCTCTACTGGAAAAATGATAATGATCTCTGAACCCTTCTTAAACTAGGCAGTCACAGCTCTTCTTTCTTCAGTTGGAGAGTGGGAAGTTTTCCTCTGTTTTGAGAGACTACTTAGGAAAAGATCACCTTGCACAGTCAGCCACAGCTGCCACTCAGAGTTAAAAAGATATAATTTTTCCCTGTAGAAATAAATAGCAACTAATACTGTATTCCTGCCTTTTGTTTTAGGTGTAAGAATTATTAGAGCTGGTGGGAAAGTGAGTGAGGGACTGGATATTTTTGCAGCTTTTTTCCATTTTCATAATTCTTTTAAAAAATATCTGGCAAAGTTATCTGATAGGTCTAAAATTAATAATTTAAATAATCATTAGAAGAAATTCTATAGCTAAAAAATAAATCAATTTCCTATAAGACTGAATAAAACAAGACTTATGTCTCACTATTTTTCACAGTACAATTAGTTGTGGCTTTGTTAACATACAGGTGCTCTTAGCTTAACTTCATAGTTGAAAAATGCGACTTAAAGCGAAACTATGTTAAGCAAATCCAATTTCATCACAGTAGTTACCTACTAGCATGCGGTAGCCAAACAATGTGATAACCGACTGTGGCAGGGCACTGTGTGTGCTGGCTGCTTTAAGGGCCTGGAGCTGGCAGGTGCCTGATGAGGGCAGCCATTTTGAATCTGGGGCTGCCCACATAAACAGGGCAGCTCTGCTGCTAGAGGCCAGGCAACAACGTTGCTTGACCAGAGGGCTGCTGGTGTCATCTGAGGGTAAAGGAGGGTCTGTAGGGGATGGTAAGGAGGCTCCTGGTCCTGGGTACAACCTAAAACTGCACCCTGCCGGGAGTGGGTGGCCTGGTGGGGCTCCCAGTGGTGCAGGAGCCCCCAGGAAATACCAGGCCGGTTACCACCCTGGTGAAAGGCGGGTTGGGGCACCTTAACCCCTAGCCCCCACAACTGGGTGGGTTACCCCTTGTTTGGAGGGCCTGGAAGGTGGACCCCAGGAAGAGAGAAAAAGCCATAGACTCGCACCTGTCTGGACTTCCCCTGACTGGCCCATGCTGGGGCCAGGAGCGGAAGGGTCGAAAGGCAAGGGGCCCACCACGAAGAACACCCAGAGCTGAGGGCCTGGGGTCCTGACTGGCGTGAGGTGGGCCAGGGCTACAGAGCCGAAGGTCCCGGGCAGGACCACACCCAAAGAGGAAGCAGTTCGGGGAGCTATGCTGCCCGGTATGAAGGCGGATGAGACCGCCTAAGGGGAGGAATCCAGGTGGGGTTCAGTTAGGAGGATTCTGGGGCCCAGTGTGGGGGTCGGTGATAATAATAACATCTGGATGCCATCAGCGAGGCTTGGGCTGTGGTGTAACGGAAGAATGGAGCCACAGATAACGCCCCTGGCATCGGGGCAGGAAATGGGCAGCCTCCTGCTTAATTACATCATTGAACTAATTAATTCCAACACGGCATGGCGAGCGAGAAGGTGGGTGGTTAGCCCAGAAACAGGTGGGTGGGCCACTGGGAAGTTGGCCCCGAGCAGGCTCCCTGTTACACTAACCATAGCACAACTTTAAACAAGTGTGTTCTCTAATAGATCAGTGAAGTAATAATGAAACAACATTAATTGGGATGATGTTAAGTGAGGAGTATCTATATGTTTGTTTGGAGGACTCAAAATATATTGCATAATCCTGAACAAGAAATGGAACGTTGTCCATTACAACCTCTTCAGATAATAGGGAAAGCTAGGAGAGACTTTAAGAATGAAATTGTATAAAACATTTTTTCTCTGACTCTGAATTTCATCTCTAGGCCCTGGAAAGTGAGTTTGTATCCTGTCAGCTTCATCAGTGGATTGACCTTATATTTGGCTACAAGCAAAGAGGACCAGAAGCAGTGCGTGCACTCAATGTTTTCCATTATCTAACATATGAAGGATCTGTGAATCTGGACAGTATCACTGACCCTGTCCTCAGGGAGGTAAGTACTTGTTACCATTCATCCTAAAAACTACTGTAATCTCTCAGGAATTATTTTTTTTCCAGGTTAAAAAACTTTTTTTGGTTGACTTGGTTCAAACCATGGAATCCCAGATAAACACTCAAATATACTTAAGCATAAAAAACAACGCTGTCTTTACCAGGAGTCACTGAGATACAACATGGTCAATTATGGTATTTTATATGTATTATACTTCATAATGTATTGCCTTTCATGATTAGCCTCTGACAGATTCACTTACTAAAGTTGAAAGGTTTAAATAATAAATTCCTTGACATTGTGGTCATGCATGAAAGGAAAAAGTCCAATAGTATCAATCAGATAATGCCATAGGAATTGTACATATCAAATAGAATTATGGGTGTATAAAAATAATTGGTTTAGATTACTTTGATTTTGCTTTCTGTAACATACAGTCAAATGTCTCCAAAGAAGGAGATTTTCTGTATGTGTTTTGTTCTTTGCATATGTGTTGGGTTTTTAAATGTCAAATATCTTTCCACTAGTTGTCTATGTGGAATCATGTTGCTATCCTTGTGTGTGTTTTGTTTCCAATTGTTGTACTTGTTTTTAGGAAAAAAATGTTAATCTGAAAAATTATTACTTGCATATCCTTCATGTATTGGGTAAAATGATTAAAAATTAGGTGAAAAGTGTGAAGATGCAACAGCTGCTAGATGAGTGCTGCTGTGATGAAGCTATACACACAGTCTTCCATTCCCCCAGATATCTACCATCTGTTGTATGCAAAACAGTAATCATTTATGTATTGCCAGGCTGTAGAAGTGTGTGTATGTGTTTTTAGCTTAGAGACAGAAAACCTGTAGATTTTAGAGGCTGTTTCTTGTCCACAAGAAACACTGGTAATCAGCTAGGTAATTTTTTTTGGAATGAAACATTACTGTGTCTTTTTATAGTTTGGCTTTCTCACTGAAATAACAGACAAACTAAACATTTCAGATAGATTCTTAGAGCTAGCTTTCAGGTAGTGCACATCAGTGCCCAGATCTTGCAAACATTTATATACATGCTTTAATTTTACGCATGTGACAACCCTCATTAATTCCAGTGGGACTACTCAAATGCTTAAATTTAAGCACCTGCATAATGGTTTGAGGATCAGGAGATTTAGATTACAATTAGAGGCATAACCGCATGCACAAAGGAGCAATATATTTCTTTTAAAGTATAATTGAGGAGCCCAGTGCAATGAAAACAATGGATTTGCACTGCTTACCATCCTGATTTTCATGAGCAGACTCTTGTGTCTTGACTTCAAGGGTCTGCCCCCACAAGGCAGCTTGTAGGATCGAAGCCTGTCTAAGCACCTTACTTAATAACTTGCAACACGATGAGCATCTTCAGCTTTCTCCTAGCCTTACTGACATGCACAGCTTGTCAGCAAGGATTTCAAAAAAATCAGGGAGATGGTTTTGTTTTTTCACTTGCATGTGTAATCCATACCCTGTAGTCATTAACATACGTGACTCTTCTTGTGCTTTCATTTGCACTACATAAACAACTTCTAACAGTGTCGTTTGCATTTCATTGCCACCAGCAAAGAAGGAAATGCACAAATGAAAGTTTATTGTTAGTGACCTTGAGAGTATAATGTTTGGTTTAAAGTAAAAGATTCTAAACCTTCCTCAGTTTGGTTTAGATATGTTTTTTTTATATAGAAATATACATATAACTAAAAATAATTAAATATGAATTAGTTTAGGAAGTATTCTGTAAATAAAAAAATAATGGAATATAAATTATGCTTATATATTTCATGCATACATGCATGTCTATGGGAATAAATGTAGTTATAAATGACTTGGGGATTTTCTACCTAGTAATAAGACCCTTCCTTTATGGATACATATTTACTTGTGGATGAGTTGTGACTGACACGTTTCTGCTGCAACTACATATTTTGGCTATTATTTATATTATTTTGTAATTTTATGATATTTTCCTTCCTTTTACAACTGAACTTTATAGCTATTTCAACTCCCCAAATATAACTAAGAAAGTCATTTAAAAAATCCTAAAAGACCCCAAAAATGTCTGTACAAATACAGAAGATTAGAAAACTTAATTTTTCCCGTATGTATTTTATCATAGCATATTATAGTGTTAGATATTTGAACTTACTAGCTTTTGGATTTAAAAGATGTATACCAAGATTTACCATCAGTTCCCATATCACAATATCTGAGATAAGTGTTGTTTATTTTCTAATAGAAGGAAATACTGGATTTTTCTTCTGAAACAGAGGTTGATGAATACTATCAATACATAGGTTATAGTTTAAGCAAATAACTTTTAGCTGGAAATCCCAGCAGCTATTAGCAGATAATTAAACTAGATTACTGTGGCCACCTCTTCCAACAATAACCAACCCTAAGGTCTTAGTAGAAAAGGACCCCTACTAAAGAATGAGTCTCCAAATAAAAACACATTAACCAGGGCCTAATTGGTACAAAAAATTGGGCATAGATCATAAAAGGAAGGTCTCCATCAGGCCAGGTTCTGTATCCCATGTTACAGTTATATCCTTGACTCCATATTCATTTGGAATGAATGATAGCCCCAAAATGCATCACCAAGAACAGGAATCAGAAGAAAAAGAGACTATCTAGAATCTTTACAAAACCCATGTAGAAACATGAACCATCACCCATCTTGTCAACCTGTTAGATGCATGTACTTGTTGCTTAGGGATGCATTCAGATGTATGTGGACATTTGGTTGCCCAGGGACAAGTACCTGTGGTGCACCTTGCACTGCATCTGCTTGTCCCTGGGGAACTCCCATGCCACGTGCACTTTGGCATGTGGCAAGTTACCCCAGGGGCAGTAGGGGAGACTGGGGTCAGCACTGTGCTGGCCCCAGCAGCCTTACCTGGGGTCCTGGGGACCTCCCATGGCTGCAGCCATGGTGATCCTGCTGGGCAGAGCCTGGCTGACAGCCACAGCATGACTCTAGGCGGCCCAGCTCCACTCTTCAGCAGCACATGCTGCCCAAGTGTGCGCTGCTCCATCTTTTTTATTTCCTGTGGGTTTTTTTACCCCTGGATATCCAGGGGTCAAAAAGCTCTGTGAAAAAATGGAGCAGTGCACACTTAGGCAGTGCACCCTTACCACACAGTCCGGTGTTCTCTGAGCTGCATGTGGCACTGCAAACATGTTTGCGACACCACGTAACAGACGATCGCGCTCATCTAGACGTACCCCTGGAGTCCAAGAAGAACTCCAGCTTCCATTAGCCTGGATAAAGTTCCTCCAATGTAGTGATCATGAAAGAAAGCATAGTGGAGTACTGGCACCTCATGACAACCTTCTGGTTTTAGCCCAGTTCTGCCAAAAAACCTAAACCATCTTAATCAACAATAAGTTGACTGAATAAGAAAATTACTCACTCATTTTTGCCTGAAGCAGCAATACCTCTCCCATCACTGGTGTCAGTGTATCTACAAAACAATGTCAAGAACAGCAAAGCAGCAAATGGTAGAGCAGGACAAAAGCCATTCAGGGTTTCTCTCCCTTCAAGAAAATAATTTAAATCATCCTTTCCTCTCAATCCCCATATTCTGCCTTTGTATAGGAATAAAATGGATCCCCTATGTAAAACTACATTGTAGTTTAGAAAGGCAGTGCCTTATTTCCCACACCTACCTTTTTACTTTTTGGGTGTGTCCAGACGTGCGTGGACATTTGGTTCCGTGGGGACAAGTAGCGGCGGCACACCTTGCACCAATGCAGGTGCACCACCGCTTTTTGTCCCTAGGGAACTCCCATGCCATGCATGCTTTGGCACACAGAAAGTTGCCCCACATGGTGTGGGGAAGTCTGGGGCCAACACTGTGCTGGCCCCAGCAGCCTTACCTGGGGTCCTGGAGGCCTCCTGAAGCTGCAGCCATGGTGATCCTGCCAGGCAGAGCCTGGCCAGCAGCCACAGCACAGGTCCGAGTTACCTGGCTCTGCTTTTTAGCAGTGCATGCTGCCCGTGCATGTGCTGCTTTGGGGGGTTTTTCTGTGGTTTTTTTTTTACCCCTGGATATCCAGGGGTCAAAAAAAAAAACACATGGAAAAAAATGGAGCAGGGCATGCTCAGGCAGCATGCCCTAGTAGCACGGAAAACTTCAGATTGTGTGGTACGTGGAGCTGCAAACGTGTTTGTAGTACCACCTACCGCATGACTGCACTCATCTGGACACACACTTTGTGTTCACTTTCACAAGCTGTTTGTGCCTGAAAGCTCGCAAAGAACAATTTTTCCAACTATTTAATTGGTCTAATAAAAGATATCACATCTATCCAAAGAACTTTGTCTTCACAGTACATTACATCTAAAGACCTATAAATTATAAAGGTAGATTCAATATCTAGATTCAAGCCCATACCCTTGTCTGCCACTTACAAAAACAATAGAATTTGCATGCTTGTCATCTGTTTATGACAGTACATTGACATCCCTGCTATGCATACAGTTACCATTTTCTGTTCAAATCTAAGCATACTTTTTGAAATTTTAACTGTTTTGCAGAAGCCCTGTGCTTAGCACCCAGCCTGAGCACTTTATTTGAACACTGGGGATGTTTCACAGAAACTGTACTTGAGTCTCCTATTTAGCATATCTTTAGCTCCCCTGATTTGAGGGGAAGAAGGAAGGATCCATTCATTATTAGGGCTAGGGACAGACATTCAAAAAACCTGAGCCTGAACTGATTCAGGACAGACATGTTCTCTGGACTGAGGAAATTCAGGCACATGCCTGCAGTGGCTCAGGCTAGAAGTTGGGGGGGGGGGGGGCACTAGAGTGACCCTCCCTTCCCTTCTGCAGGGAGCTGAGCTGAGGGGGGTATGGCCAGGCCCCTGCAGGACTCTCTCCTTAGGGATGTCTGCCTGCAGGGTCCCAGGCTTTTCACTGTTGGCTGCTCAAGGGTCAGGAGTGTTGCTAGCCCCCTTCCCTGGGCTAGCACTCTGAGG